AGGGGCCAAAGGGAATGGAAAGAAGAAAAAACAGTTCATGTTCTTGGTAAATGAAATATTTTTTGTATCTCCATATTCTGTAAAATATATTAAATACTTAGCAAAATGTCAATATGAGGAGAATCTGAAATTTTATGGATTACATCATTTGTCAGTTTTTTTCTACTGACTAGCTGGTTGCTCTTATATTTCAGCTAATCAAGATCACTGTATGCTTTCAGAATGCCTGTCTAATGAAAGGGATGTGAGTCTTTAACCCTGACTCTCTATTGAGGTCAGATCTGTGTATGTGCCCAAAAACTCCCTTGGGAATATGAGCAGAAGGGAGGGCCAGAGAATAAATGTGGTCAGTGACTGAAAGCTGAGGGGTACTGCTCTACATTAGTTGTATTAGATAAAGCCTGGGAAACCCTAGGACATCTGCAGAGTCTTCAATTCCCTATATTGATACAATTTATATTTCTGCTTAGTTTTCTTGTAACTGAACAAGAGGATCAAAAAAAAAAAACTTCAAGTCACTTTAGTTTTTTATTCTACACTGGAGCAAAGATGACTTCTAAGCCATGTCTTCTATTTCCCTAGCAGCTACAGAATAAGTGCAGAACTACTGACAATCTTCTTAGGTTGAAAAAGTGGTAACTGCAGTTCCTGGAAACCATCAGTTTAGCCCTGAAGGCCTGATTCATAGACTATTTAAGCATCTCTAAGAGTGTCTTGGGGCACAGATTTATAAACAAGAACAAGTGGTATTTCCAGACACACATCCATGTTAATTTCAATCTGCATTTGCTTCAAAGGCCATAAATGTCTCATTAGCCTCAAATTACACTTCTCTGCCAATAACAAAATCATTGTATGTGATCGTATCTGATTTCAGATCTTCCTTGACTTCTCTGTGTGGTGTGCTGCCAGAAGTTGTCATTTTGAACTGAAAATTCGGATTTGAATTGATTATTTTCGATTGTTTGAATGAGTAATACTTTCAACTAAGAATTTTTTTGCAAGCAGTTTGTATGCATTTTTCTAATATTTGAAGCAGTAAATAAAAATATGGAAAAAGTACAACACTAAAAGTGATAATAAATAAAGACATGAAAAGTTCATGTCTTCCTGTAGACTCAGTATGTAAAGGCGTATTAAATAGCTGACTGTATACATGTAATTGAACATCAAACTAGTTTTGATATATCTAAAAACCTTTCTAGAATGTTTAGTTTTCTATTTAAGATTAATCCCTAATTGAAATCTGTGACTCTCTATTTACATCTTCCAATATTTTCAATCAGGTATCTAACATCATATCATAGTCGTCACAGTTCATTATTCAAATTAATAGGCAGCATGCCTTCTTCCTTACCTCTCAACATTATTATTGAAAATTATTTTCTGTGTCTGTGTATGAGTGTGTATACATCTCACATGTGAAACTAACCTTAGGAAAATGGTCATTCCTCTAGTAATGTCGATGAATGTGTGATATTTTCTGCCTCATTGTGATATTTTCTGCCTAATTTTCTTGCCTAAACAAGATATTTTTGTTTTCCTTGCCTCAGTCTGGGTTCTTTGCTTCAGTATAATAGCAAAACCAGTTGTCCCCAGGATGCACAGCTCCCAGAGCTGGAAGCTGGGGAAGTATGGAGAGCTGAGTGAAGCCCCCTTAATCCAGGAGGCAGTGGTTAGTGACCTGCTACTTATAGCAAATTAGACACACATAAGTCTATGGGCTCAGATGGGATACACCTGAGGAAGCTGATGAAAGAGCTTTAAACTGCTTTAAACCACTTACCAGCAGTCCTGCTTAACTGGAGAAGGTCACGTTGGTGGAAAATAAGCAAATGTAATGCCCATGCACAAGAAGGGTCAGAAGGGTGACCCAGGGAAATACAGGCCTGTCAGCCTGTCCTCGATACTGGGAAAGGTCATGGAACAGATCATCCTGAGTGCCATCACATGCTGTGTGTGGGACAGCCACAGAGAATCAGGCCCAGATGATACTCACAAATGGGTTTACGAAAGGCAGATCCTGTTTGACTAACTTGATCTCTTTCTGTCATAAAGTAACTTGGCTGGTGGATAAGGGAAAGGCTGTGGATTTTGTTTATTCGGACTTCAGTAAAGCACTGGATACTGTCACCCACAGCATTCTCCGGGGGAAACTGGCTGTTCATGGCTTGGATGGGTGCAGTCTTCACTGGGTGAAAAACTGGCAGGATAGTCAGGCCCAGAGAGTGGTGCTGAATGGAGTTAAATCCAGTTGGCAGCTGGTCAGCAGTGGTGCTCCCTAGAGCTCAGTATTGGGGCCAGTTTAATGTCTCTATTGATGATTTGGAGGAAGGGATTGCATGTATCCTCAGTAAATTCACAGATCATACTAAATTGGATGGGAGTATTGATCTGCTGGAGCATAGGAAGGCTCTGCAAAAGGAACTCTACAGGCTGGATGACTGAGATCAGTTCTCTGAGAATTGATAAGGCCAAGGGTCAGGTCCTGCAGTTGGGTTGCAATGCTCCAGCCTTGGGGAACAGTGTCCTGAGAGCTGCTCAGCTGAAGGGGACTTGGGGGCTGCTGTTTGAGAGCTGGCTGGATATGAGCCAGCATGTATCCAGGTGGCCAAGAAAGCCATACTATTTAGTACATCACATTTTTTACAATTGCATATTCTCTCTGCTGTATCAGAGAGATTTCCTTCATGTTGTCATTTTTGGTTCTCTCCCTGCTGGTAATGTGTTCACATTTGTTTATTTGTCATTCCCATTTTCTTTTCTTGTTTTGTTTCCTCTTTTTTTACTTGCTGTTTGCCCAGAAAATTTTTTTCTCTATCCATCTTTCATCATCTGGATCACTGTGTTTCCTTCCACCTTGTCAATTTTCTTAGTGCTGCATTCCACATTTCTTAGAATGTCATTACAAACTTCCACAGTGTGGGTGTCAAGGGAATAAGATCTGTTGCTCCTCCCGAAGCACAGATTAAATCCTCAGTTGGATATAACTGGAAAATCTGATTTGTGCTGCATGATCAGTAAAGTGTGCCAAAGTCAGGATGGGACAGAGCAAGAGGAATGCTACTCAAAATCAACCACCTGCTGCTGATTTCCATTGTTAAAGATAGTAGCAAAAATCAGAAGGGAAAGTGATGCTTGAGGAGGAGTTTTGAGAGACCCATTGCTGGCTGACCACTCTGAGTGCCAGGGAGCAGCTGAAGTGGAGCTGTCCATGGGAGAGGTTGACCCAGGAGCTGTGGGCACTGCACAGCTGGCAGGGCAAGACTCTGAACTTCTAAGGCTCCCTGACAGGGACAGGACTCTGCCACCACCCAATAATTGTAAGGCCAGGCAGGGTGAGGAGTCAGGTCCAAGGTCTACCTGGGGACCCAGTGAGGCCAAGATCCAGGCTGGGCATGGGGTTGGGCATAGGACTTCCTGCAGCATAACTCAGGGACTGACAGCCCTGGTGGTGCCTCTGGAGACGTGAAAATTAGAGCTGTTAATGATTTGTCCTTCAGAAATGGTGCTCAAATTGCAAGTCCTAGAGAAAATGTTGGTAGACAAAATTTAGGTCCATCACACGTAATATGTATCTGGTATTTTTCTGGCCTCTGGTGTTCTGGTGTTTTAAGAGTTTTGTGGTAAGAGTGCTAAAATGAAATTCCAGGAGTGTTGAGAGAATAAAATGTCATTCAAATTATTTTCCATGTCTGAGTCCTGACTGAAAACAGGACCTGCTTGTCCCCTTATATATAATTTTGATATATATATGTGCGTTCATCCTACCAAATATAAGGTATCAGTGTCAGTTTCTTATAACAAGGAATTTTTTGCTTGTGGAATTTTTTTACCTGTGGAATTGTTGTCTGTGCTTCTGAGTTGAGTAATGGGTAAAAAGGAAGTTCCTAATTTCTTTGGGCAGGTAGAATGTTGATGTGTGTTTATTTGTACACTTGTAATGGTTAGCATATACATGCAGATGACTTGCATTTCATTAAACATTTTCAGAATTATTGTATGAATTACCTGCCATTTAAAAATAAGAATGCAAGAAGGTAATGTTACATAATTGTAACACTATGTAGGCCAAAAGCTGACTTAAGAGATTTTTTTCTTTTAGCTTTCCATTGTTCTGTCAGATATAGGAAAAAAAAAAAAGAAAAAAATAAATTTGTATCTCATTTTGACTGTTCTCACACTTGATTTGAACTAATCATTTATTGCATTCATTGGAATTTCTGAATTAGATGGAGGTAAATTAGGTTGTCATACAGAAAAGAAGTCATGTCTGTGAAAAATATTCTCTAGTTGTCAACTCATAGCAAAAAGAGATTATCCAATACAGGAAACAAAAGTAATGAATGGTTCCTGTGGGAGTGCAAAGAGGCTTAAAAAGAAGATTCTGTTTATTTAGGGCAGAAAATATCCTCAAGCTAGCACTTGAATGTGATACTCTTCCTGAAATCAGAAGTGTTTGGTCTGTGGTTTGGTTTGGAAGCATATAGAGAAGAAGAAAAATTTGTTTTGTGGAATAATCTTATGGCTTCAAGTTTAGCTCTCTTAACTTACATATCTTTGGAAACACATAGCTAACTATGATATCTAAAGTTCATAAAACATTTGTGGGCCTTGGCATGGAAGTAATGTGTAAATATAACTTTTTTAGCTTTTTTATTTCTTTTATTTCTTTATTTATTTGTTTGAGGTTTATGCCAACATAAATTTGTCTATTGATTTGAATTGTTTGTTTTTTCTTGGCCGCAGGCTGACTGAGTGGGCTGGACTTCACTGAAAGGAGCCATTTCACTGGGGCAGTGGAATAACTGTGGATCTCTCACCACTCTACTTGTTGGGAAGTGCTGCGTGTTGCCAGGATTAATTCAACACTGAAGTCTGGGATGGGCCTTAGGGGCAAACACTCCCTTGTTTCTTCTGACATTGGGATTTGTCTACAGCCAGTCAGCTGAGGCACCTATCACACATCATCTTTTGTTTTTTTGTTGCCTGAACAAAGATACATTTTCCCTCACTTCATCTCCTTTTGACTACTTTTTTATTAGTTTTCATTTTCCTTGACTGAATAATTTCTCCTGGCTGTGGAAAAAAGAGCCCTGCTAATGTTGATTTAAATAATGTCGAAACCAATGGGACTCCTATGGCTGCCTTTGATCTTCACACCAGTGTGTGTCATGTTGAATTCTAACTTCCTCCTGTGGATAACTGCACTGGCTATAAGATTTACTCTCATTGATGGCCAAGCACAATACCCAGTTGTTACTACGAATTATGGCAAAATACGTGGTTTAAGAACACCTTTGCCTAATGAGATCCTTGGTCCAGTGGAGCAGTACTTGGGTGTTCCTTATGCTTCTCCTCCAACTGGAGAAAGGCGATTTCAGCCCCCGGAGCCACCGTCATCCTGGACGGGTGTCCGCAACGCCACGCAGTTTGCCGCTGTCTGCCCGCAGTACCTGGATGAGAGGTCACTGCTCAACGATATGCTGCCAGTCTGGTTTACAGCCAATCTGGATACTGTGGTGACATATGTTCAAGATCAAAATGAAGACTGTCTGTATTTGAATATCTACGTGCCCACAGAGGATGGTAAGTACCCTGAGACCCACACTGCGGTGTGCTCACCAGTTCAACATATGAAGAGTGTCCAGGTCTTTAAAGCATCTTACTGAGTTTCATCCATGCTTTATCTGTGGAAATGGATAATGCCTCTGAATATGCATTATTAGTAATACTTTGTAGATTGAATATGCCTGCATAGATTCTCTTTTACTTTTCAGTGCAACACCAGCCTGCAGTTTGATTATGAGTAGTGGCCAGGGTATGTCAGCCAGCCTTAAACTTACATCTAAAAGACAGCTGAGAATCATTCACAAGAGAGGAAAGGGAAAATAAACATTAACCTGAAGTAATATAGTCATTTTTCCATGTATGAATGGTACAAACGTGCTGTTACATGCTAATTTTGAAAGAAGAATTTACTTATTTTTTTCCTTGTTTTATTACAAAATTTCTGGGCCTACTGTAAACTCTACTTGATTTTAATAGATAATAGAAAATTGTTACAGGAATTCCATCAGCCGGAGCTTTTTTAGGATTTTTGTCTGTAAAACTTTTCATTCCAGCTTATTTTTCTTCATTTGCTAAATTTAAAATGAAGTCAAGGTGATTTATTATGCAGATTTGAAGAGATGGCTTTAAACTTTCATCTGTTTTGTGCAATACTTTCCCCAGAGAGCTACTTTAAGCCACTTTCTATAGACAAAAAGGATGAACACAATTGGTAATACAGAACTCTTTGAACATTTACATGATCTCAATCTTAAAAATTGTAGCTGTATGGCATGATGAATATATCTTTGGTTGTTTTGAATAGTATTACTTCCTACAGGCAAGAAAACCTCTTTTCATCAGGCCCCAAACAAGCTAAGTCTATTATTTCACAAGGAAATAAAAATAGTACTAGCACTTATATTTAATATTCCACTAAAAGCTAGTGCTTTCTGCTAATTAGAATGCAGTTACGGATGTATAACATGAAAGATTTCTCCCAGATATGCAAATCCCCTTCACTTTTGCTGAGGGTTTGATTTACACAACCAAGGCATTGTTATTTCTCAGTAACCATACTCTAAATATGCAAATTTTCTACTTTGATTGTTATAATCCTTCTGCCTTGACTGGCTTCTTTACTCAGAATTTCCAAGCTGTCTGCCAGCAATAAACATACCACCTTCTTTTCCTGTTCTCATCAGCTGAAGCAAAAACTTGAAAGCTAAAAATAAAAGGGTAAGGTTTGGGAATACTGGGAGCTTTGCAAATGTAAATACTACCAAGGTGCTTAAATGAAAAGTGCTGTGAAAGGAAGGCTGTGTTTATGGGGGCTCTGTGTGCATGAGTGTGTGTGCATGTGTGTGTGTGTGTGCCCTGTGTGTAGACAAAGGAGCAGGTCTTTACAACTCAATTCTTTCCCTCTTCCAGTCTCATTGGACTCCTTATTACTCCTTGGATAATGAAATAGATAATTTTTTCACAAATTTGTTTACGTTCTGGATTTTAGCCTTCATCTTTTAATTAGTCACTGGGGTAAGCTTGCCCTGAGAAAGCATTCTGGGTTAAGATTTTATTTGTTCTCACTGAAGGAACATCAGTTCTGCTTGCTCAGTCTTATTTTAGAATCCAGTTTTAATAAATAATACATTCCTCCAATCTAATAATAGGAAGTTTCATTTATTAATTAGAGGATACAGGAAATTAGACATGGGGAAAATATATGTGAACATCTAGGAAAAGAATATTTAATATCAAACGAAAAGTAGTAAAATATTTTGAGCTGAATGACTAGCAACATATACCAGTCATCTTGCTATAATAGATAATGACATTTGCTGTTACATTTAAAGTAGAAAGAACTGAGAAACTTAATTTCACATTCTGTAGACCTTTTTGTCCACTTACTTTTGCAAAAATCATGGTTTGCTCTTCCTGGTTTTAGATTTTCTTTAAATAGCTTGTAAATGGTATCAAGTTGCTTTTATATCTCCTGTTGAAAATACAAACACATGCATAAAAATATGTAGCTGAATAATGAGATGACAAGGTTTGTGTTAGTGATGAGCTGAAGGTAAGGTTGCTCCTCTACAATGTGAAAAGCATTTTTAAAATATTCCATTGGGAAACAAGAACTTTAAAAATGAATAAATTAAGTACACAATGTGTTAATTGTATGCTGTATATTTTATCACTAATTAATAAGTCTCAGAGGCTTTTTTAGTGAGGAGTACATGTGATCTTCTGACCACAAAGATTCTTAATGGGAACTGACCTACAAATCAGATGCTCTAAGTTAGTGTGTCTCCAAATCACTCTAAACAGTCTTAAATAGTAGTGCATACAATCTGATTAAAGATGTTATGCTTCATTATATGAGTCCTAGTTGGCAAAAATAATTTATGTTGTTATGGAAACAGACCATGAAATTAGTTTTTGAAGCAATATTTCAAAGTGAGTGACTTTGAATTAAATTCACATTTTCAATTCTTTCTTCAGTATAGATGATTTAAAAGAGCTTCGAAACTGCTTTCTAGAAGAAAAGGTGGCTGGAATCATCCAAACCTAATAAATGCTCTGATTATGAAACTCACTCTGAATAATTTTTTTCTCTTTTTTTTTTAACTTTGGAGAAAAGAATAGAACAACAGCTAATGAATTAACTGCAGTCATTTGCAGTGCTTACTTCAAAGCAATTCTGGTGAATAACTAAACAAAAGCTCAGGTTTGGGGATTTTTTTCATTGTTTTGTTTTGTTGCAGTTCTTTTTCAGTATATAGCATTACCTGTTTCTTATTATTTTTGTGGTTTGGTTGAAGAGAACCAAATTATGACCATGTACTTTCAATAAAGGGTTGACTAATAAATGCACAAATAAATGACTAATAAATATATCCTTCCATCTGATTTCAGAATTGCTTCACTAGAATCCTTCCATGATAAACTAATGGGAATAAGAGCAGAATACTGTCACTTTAACTAGACAGATAAGTATAGTTAGTTATATTAAAAGATTTTGAAATGTTACTGCTATTGTCTGAAGAAGTACCAGGAAATGAAATAACATATAAATCTATAGTTCCTTAAAATAGTTTGAGCTTCTAGGTTAAGAAATTAAAATAATGTGCTACATAGTCTGTGTCTGTATTAATCCTTGCCTTATTTAAGACTCAGAAGATGCTGGATTTCAAATGTCAGATACCAGGAGAATCCCATCAGAATTTCCTATGTTAACATGTCCTTACAAAGCAAAAGCTATCTTCCTTTTTATGGGCTGTCTTTTTTCATTTTAGGTGAAAATATTATTTATCATACAAGTCAATATACATACTTAGAAGAATAATACTACAATTCTGTCTTGTAGATTTTTATTCTTTTGCTGTTTTTCAATAGACAAGTGTTTTTTGGTGTCCCTTTCCTTACAGTAATACTTCTATTTCAGAGTATCTAAAGTAGCTGGAGATTTTCACTGTTTGTTTTCCTTCACCTTTGGAAGCGAAAAAAAGTTGCAACCACTGTGATCCATTGAGATTTTTTATTTTTTGTTCATAAGTATAAATAATATTGCAGTTATTTTAAAGACACACATACAAGCAATAAAAATAAAATCTAAGAAGATTATTTTACTTTATATGTCAAACATATAGTAATAATAAATTACTCAGAACTGAAGCAAATAAAATATTTATAGTGAAACTATCATTTTATCATTTTGCTTTCTAAACATTTGGCTTGATCTGCAGTATTATTTTTGTGGGTGTATATTGGCTAGGCTGCTTTTTCAGTTACTATGAACTGTAATTTTCCACAAGAATACTTGAATGTCAGTTTTGAGGAGGTCATCTAGGGAGATGATATTGAGGACAGTGTGTTTATTATAACTTCAGTCTGAATATGGGTTTATCTACAGTGGAAATGCTAGATTGAAGAGGACACAGACTGTTAATCGGCTGTGCTTAATCCCTGGCCTTTATCATTTGAATCTGTGGATTCTGAAGGAGATTGCTAACTCCTATCATAACTGGGGTAAAAAAGTGTGACAAGAAACAAAAAACCAGAAAAGACCCTTATTTTGTATTTCTTTCATTATAAACTTCAAAATTTTATTAATAACAAAGCAAGATTTAAAAAAAAAAATCAATACAGCAAAGCAAAAAAGCACAAAACCCAACAAGAACAGATAATTTTATGTCTGTCTAAAACCTGCTATGTTCAGATCAAAAAAGAAGGTTACTTTTTGTTGTCTTTGCTTGATCAATGGGAAGCATATATACTTTTTACTTATTTTGGCATATGGATAGAGTGCACATTTTACACAGGGTAGAGCTTTTTATCCACTATGTATCTGTTGCAGATTAACTAATGAAGTATTTAGCATCTTCTTGTTTTTTGCTTGTGAGCTCTTTTTTCATTTACTTCAGAGTAAATACAGGTGAAGTGACAACAAAAGGTGGGAGACCATGAAACTTATTAAGGCTGAATGGGTAGGTGATAATTTTTCTTTAGATTATTGGAACTGAGGTTTGCCCAGGATTTAACTGTGGAATTCCAGGAAGAAAAAAGTCTTGGGCAAAAGCAAAGAGATCAAGTGTGCTCCTTCTCTGGAAGAGATTGACTAAATATACCTGCAGCTCTTGACTCTGTGTCTATTTGACTGAGAAATAACAAAATGAAAAATTTGAGCAAAGCTGATTGAGAAGATGACCCTCAGACTGTCCCTTTTGCATATTGTGAAATGAATAATTGCCGCTTAATATATAATTGAGTGCTTACAATTTTCTTCTTGCAATTGCTGTTGAGTGCAATGTCTTTAATGTGGAAAAAGTGTTTTTATCAAAATTATCCTAATAAAATGTAATTGATAAAAATTGGGGTTTTTTTCCTTTTTCTCTGAGGCATAGAAAAAGATAGTGTAAAGATTACTCTTTTCATTTTGATGGCATAGAATGAAAAAGTAACTTAATCAATCTCTTTGTTACCATGAGAAATAAGGGATCAAATGTAAAAATAGGGTCATACATAACAATAGTGTCACAGTG